CCGTGGTGCCGCGCCTCCCAGGGAGTGCGCACAATCCAAAATGGCGGGCGCCGTTTATGAACAGCAACCCGCCCCTGGACTACCACTGTCCAGCTGTTTATATACAGCAGCCGGACGGGAAGTGGTTAAATAACCAATCTCTTCATAAAATAGCGCAAGCAGTATTTTATTAGCGTTTTTTTTAGTGAATTTCAAAAATTTTTGAAAAATGCTGTGCGGCATCTTACCACATACTCAGAGCCGTCAAATACCACTTTGTGAATGCAGCCCTAAATCAGTGAGATAGATCAATATATGTCATGAACAAATTTACACCATCCCCATATTTCAAAATTGTTGGATTTGATTGATAGGAAAACTTCTGCCTTAATGATGGGTTCACGTAAGTTCTCATCTCTCTTTTGTTCAATATACTGTATATACACATTTTAAAAATATTCACTACATCTCCGCAATACATACACATTTAACCCAACTATTGTCTCTTTAAAATCTCTAAAAATACAGGACAATATTTGCTTTCAGCCCTGACTAATTCTTCCCAATAGACTACAGAACACCTCCCTCTATCATTATCTCATAAAATGATATGTAGGTGTTTTGTATTCTACAAAGCTGATACCTATGCTTGAGATTTTAGTGCAGCAAAGGCAGTGTTGTAAGCTCAAACACAAAGTTAGGAGCTCAGTGCATTTCTGGCAGGATCAACATGTATTTTTCTATAGATGCAGCATTTTAGAGACTAAATCATGAAATCAGAAATGTACTGATTATTTTTGTTTTTTTTGTTTTTTTACCCAGAGATACACTTAACATTATTACATATTTATTCAGAATTCTATATGAAATATGCAGGTATTATTCAGCTGGTAATATACAAAACAAAGAACAATTCATACAGCTCTGTCTTCATTTACACATGCAAAAAACATGCTTTTGTCTTGTCTACCTTTGTAGAGTTTATTCCCACATATACTGTTTGCATATACACAGTCTTAGCTTTGCCTGCTATAAAGTGAGAAATTTGTTTCCAGTTGAAGGTGGCTGGGGGACTAACAGGACCAGGTACAAGAAACATTTCAATACAATTTTCATAATTTTTACTTTAATGTTGCAGCACTCTGAATATTTTACTGCAACTCCCAAACGCTTTGCTGATTCCAGAATTTTTGTTTGATTTTCAAAAGAAGTGTATGCACGGCCCTGAGTCAGTAGAGGAGATGTTATAACACTGATTTAGCTAGACCCAAATGTCATGTCTCACATATGGTGTGCAGGCTTGTTTTTATTAGCATTCTTTTTTATTAATAGATAACTAATGAGGTTCCATGAGTTTCTAGGGAACCTGTTATGAAGACATTTTTTAATATTTTATTAGTAGTTCATATTTGCTTCTATTGTGCATGTGATAAGCAATGATAAATGTTGTAGGTTTAGCAGTTTGCTAAATTGGGATCTTGGAATTGTCTGTTTTGATAGTATGACTGGTAGGCTTAAAGTGGAACTGCAGTCATAAAAATTTAGTGTGTTAAATGAGATGTTCATTTTTATTACTATCTATTTCACTGTTGGGAAGATTTAAAGTGGTTCTAAAGGCAAAATGTTTCTTACATTAAATCATTCTCTGTAATAGGGTAAAAACTTACAATAGCAGTTCCCCCCAACACCCCCTTAAACAATTACCTGAGTCCTCAATCCAGCACTGTCCCATCTGCAACAGCTCTTCTCCCCTCTTCCTGTATTGACAGGAGACTCTGATGGCAGCTGGAGCTATTGACTCCTGCTGCTGTCAATAAAATCCTGTGAGGATGAAGCTGGGCTGTACCGTACTGTTTGGGTCTATGGATGCACACAGCCCAACTCGGGCAGCCTCATATTAAAGGACTTCCTTTCTCCAAGAGAAAGTGTATCTGGGACGTGAAGGGAAGATAACTTATTTTGGAAGAACTACGGTACTTGAAAATTTAGCTAGCTATTACTATTTGATTTTCATATGAATAGAAGTTCCTGAACAAGAACTACTGTACATAGACTGTTAGAAATTCATTTGTTCAAAAAATATTTTTTTTATTTGAGCCTGCTAAGTATTATAGAGCCATACTAATAGCCTGAAATCAAAATGTTTGCAAAAAATTCTATTAGTGTATGCCCACCTTTAGTCTTGGCCTTCTTTGGAATGTTAAAGAGAACCTTTATACTGTTCAATAAGGAGTAGGGTAGTAAGAAAAAAAAACTTGCACATATGAGTTACATTTTGGGTGCACTGGCCTAGTGTGTCACCTATGAATGTGTATTGGACCCTCCATGTGAAAAGCCCTCTTCTCTTTTCACAAAAATGGCATTATGAACAGAATGGTGTTTTTTGAAGAAATGTAAAGTTATAAAGTTATTTTTAAAAAAACTACTTGAAAGCGTGTAAGAGACTGGTGCTTTTAGTGAAGAACTGTACATATTCTCTGGTCTGGAAATTCTCTGGGCTGGGAGTCACCACCTTTGAAAAAAGAATAATCAAAAGTGACAGAAATTCTCCATAAAGCTCATTGATGTAACTATGGCTTACTTGGAATAGTTCTTTAGGGACTCTCTTCCTTTAGGAATTACTGGTTACTTCAACAGTGAGAGAACAAGGAACCTAAATACTAAATTACCCTGACAGTGGAGCATCAGAAGAAGCACTGCCATGTCGTACAGATCATGGAATCTCTATCTCAGCAGGAGAAATGACTATTTCGTTTAAAAAAAAAATAGAGTAGCTTCAATATTCAAGTTCTGCTTTCTCTGAAAAGGCAGAAAAACTAAAGAATGGGTAACCAGGCCTGCTGCATAGGTATGTGAAGTGAAGATACTGCACTTCTGCTTTTTTGTTACAATACTTAAAATACTGTTAATTTTAAATGCTGGCATTAAAAATGTTGATTACATTTTATATAGAAATTACAGACATCTAGTCAATAGGTTTTTTATTTGACCAGTGGACTTTTACTATATACTGGTGAAACTCGCAACTCGAAAAATTAGTTTATTTCAGTAATTCAACTTAAAAGGAGAAACTAATATAAGAGATAGACTCATTACATGCAAAGCAAGATAGTTCAAGCCGTGATTTGTCATAATTGTGATGATTATGGCTTACAGCTCATGAAAACCCCAAATCCACAATCAGAAAATTAGAGTATTACATGCAATCAATAAAACAAGGATTGTACATAGAACAATATCGGACCTCTGAAAAGTATAAGCATGCATATGTACTCAGTACTTGGTTTGGGCCCCTTTTGCAGCAATTACTGCCTCAATGCGGCGTGGCATGGAAGCTATCAGCCTGTGGCACTGCTGAGGTGTTATGGAAGACCGGGATGCTTCAATAGCGGCCTTCAGCTCTTCTGCATTGTTCGGTCTCATGTCTCTCATATTGCTCTTGGCAATGCCCCATAGATTCTCTATGGGGTTCAGGTCAGGCGAGTTTGCTGGCCAATCAAGCACAGTAATCCCACGGTCATTGAACCAGGTTTTGGTGCTTTTGGCAGTGTGGGCAGGTGCCAAGTCCTGCTGGAAAATGAAGTCCGCATCCCCATAAAGCTAGTCTGCGGAAGCAAGCATGAAGTGCTCCAAAATCTCCTGGTAGAAGGCTGCGTTGACCCTGGACTTAATGAAGCACAGTGGACCAACACCAGCAAATGACATGGCTCCCCAAATCAACACAGACTGTGGAAACTTCACACTGGACTTCAAGCATCTTGCAGTGTGTGCCTCTCCATTCTTCCTCCATACTCTGGGTCCTTGGTTTCCAAATGAGATGCAAAATGTTGCTCTCATCAAAAAAGAGGACTTTGGACCACTGAGCAACAGACCAGGTCTGTTTTTCTTTAGCCCAGGTAAGACGCTTCTGACGTTGTTTGTTTTCAGGAGCAGCTTGACAAGAGGAATACGACATGTGAAGCCCATGTCCAGGATCCGTCTGTGTGTGGTGGCTCTTGATGCACTGACTCCAGCCTCAGTCCACTTCTTGTGAAAGTCCCCAACACTTTTGAATGCCCTGACAATCCTCTCCAGGCTGCGGTCATCCCTGCTGCTTGTACACCTTTTTCTACCACACTTTTCCCTTCCACATAACTTTCTATTAATGTGCTTTGATACAGCACTTTGGGAACATCCAACTTCTTTTGCAATTACCTTTTGAGGCTTTCCCTCCTTATGGAGGGTGTCAATGATGGTTTTCTGTACAACTGTCAGGTCAGCAGTCTTTCCCATGATTGTGATTCCTACTGAACCAGACTGAGAGACCATTTAAAGGCTCAGGAACCCTTTGCAGGTGTTATGGCTTAATTAGCTGATTAGAGTGGGACACTTTGAGCCTAGACTATTGCACCTTTTCACAATATTCTAATTTTCTGAGATTGTGGATTTGGGGTTTTTATGAGCTGTAAGCCATAATCATCACAATTATGACAAATCACGACTTGAACTATCTTGCTTTGCATGTAATGAGTCTATCTCATATATTAGTTTCACCTTTTTAAGTTGCATTACTGAAATAAATGAACTTTTGCACGATAAGCTAACTTTTCGAGTTTCGCCTGTATAAAGGAGAAGTTAGGAAAAAAAGTTTTATTCAAGTTTCTATACTGTTGCAGTTTCCAATTGCCTTTTCTCTCCCTTTCTTTGGTTAGCACAAGAACATTAGGGGTATGTGTTAAAAATGCCACATTACTTTACTTTACAGCACTTGGCAAGTACACTGTGTTTTTTAGACAATTCTATGTACAGTGTAGGCACTTTCTCTCTTACATTTCAGAAGATTAACTTTTACCCTGGGGCCTCCAGCCAAACTACAGGGGTTGGACAAAAAAGATGGCAACACTACATGATTTGCAGGTGTGATAGTGGCAACATGTTTCACGTTGAAAGCAGAAGTGATGTAACATTCCTTTGCTTCCGCTGTGTGATGAGACACCTAGCTAACACGTGGAAAGCCTCACTTTTGTCGTTTCATAGGCTATTTTGAGTGTGGGCAAGGACACAGGGGCCCCATGATCCCCTATTGCCTGGGGGCCCCATGAGTTGTCAGTCCGCCCCTGCATACAATATTCACAGAATATGTCCTTGGTCATATTGATGTGTCTTAATGGCAGTTTTAGGCCCTATTTACATTTCTCCAGGCTGAGGTGATACATTAACATATTTCTTTAAAGTGGTTGTAAGAGCTTACATACACCTAGTGAAGTGACTGGCTTCAGGTGATACACAGATATGAAACACGTCCTACATAAGTTGTGCCTGTTTATCTACAATATTCTCTTCTCCACAGTCATTCAAAGTCTGGAATTGATATAGCTTGTCTGAGCTTCCAGAAAGGAGGGGGTGAAGTCACCCTCTACGTAGCTCATTGAGAAGAGCTAATAGCTGATTGAAGGGAAGGAACACACCCCATTCACACAGTACATTGGAACAGAGCGTGGGCTATCAATTCAAGGCTGCTAGAGGTGCTAAAGGTCCCTCAAAGTCACCTACAGGTGTTATACAAAAAATGGAAACACCACATAATTTGCAGGTATGAAAGTGATGACATGTTTCACATTGAAAGCAAAAGTGATGTAACATTCCTTTGCTTCCGCTGTGTGATGAGACACCTAGCTAACACGTGGAAAGCCTCACTTTTGTCGTTCACTGCGTACGCTACTAGTAATATGGAGTCGTGCTAGAGCTTACTAGCTTCAGAGAAGGCAAATTGTTGGTGCCTGCTGAGCTGGTGCCTCTGTGACTAAAGTTTCCAATTTGTTTGCCATGTGGCAAGGTACAGTATCAAAGGTTATGATGGCATATACAGTTTCCAGGAAATGAGCATAAGTGCAGTCAGCATGATCAACTGATCAAAATAGACAAAAAGACATTGCTCAGGATGTGACCCAGAATAAGAAAAGAACTGCTGCAAAAGTGACTGCAGAGCTCAATCAGTCATCACGGAACTGAGATTGAACTCTGTAGTTATTTTCTTTTTTTTTTAAAGTTGGTTGAACAGTGACGGCAGCCAATCAGTTGCAGTCATTGTTTGGGTAGCCATGGGTGAAAGCTGTCAGAACACAATAACTATTAGCTGGAGATTCGTCCATCCATGCTAATAAGCGTGGATGGAGAAATCTTTGGATGCCACTTTTAAAGGCATTTTGCATTTATTTTGCCTCTAAACGCCCCTCAATGTTAGCCTGTGTGTACATGCACACATAGGCAGTTACAGGTGTTTAGAGACAGAATAAAAAACCCAGGAAGGGGTGTTTCAGCAAAATTGTGTGACATGCCTAAATGCACCTAAATGCGCTTTAGTACTAGGAACGTCAAGCGCTTGGGCGTTGTTTAATTCTGGCCAGTGGAATTAATGAATGCCCAAGTAGTAGATGCGCCTAAATGCATTTTCAAGATGTATGGCCAGCTTGAGGCATGTATTCAAATAAAATGGTGAACCATTATACCTCAATGCCTCCCACATTTGGCAACAATTGATGTTATTGATGTTCTTCATTTCTCCCCTAGTTTTTGCTCTTTGCAAGTGTTATACTTCTGTGTATATGTGGTATAGCTGAAGCTTCTTACAATATACAGTATGTGGCATAGCTGAAGTTCAAGAAAGGTCCTTACATGTAGAATTAAGAATGTAGCTACTGTACAATAAGGCTTCATTCACACTGGGGATTTTGATAATGCTGGTAAAGTTAGCTGTGTAAAGTCACGTTAAAAACAGGAGTTTTTCAGCTTTTTTCAGCGTTTTTTGCATTAGCGTTTAGTGGCGTTTTGTCAAAAAATCAAAAAAGGATGGTTTGCTGCATTTTACAGCGTTTTACAGCGTTTTGCAGCATTAGAGCATTTTTACAGCTAAAAAAATCCTCTAGAAACCCACTAGTCCTGGGTTTCTCCCAGCCAAAAAACGTCCCAACTTAAAAACGTTGATTACAGTCTGTGTATGGACACATAGGATAACATGCTGGGGAGTTTACTTACTGTAGGAAAAAACGTTAAAAGCCAAAAACAGCAGCTGTAAAAAAGTCAAGTGTGCATGTGGACTTAGATCAGCCAAGCTGCACCAATGTTCAAAAGCATCCCAATTCACTCCTCCATCTTGTGGTTATAGCTGGGTTTCGAAGCCCAGGAGCCTGCTCCTGTATTGCACACCAACTGAGAAAGAACCAGGTTGCACACCAGTGACATAGAAACATCCAGTGAGTTTAATGGACAAGCATTAAGGACAAGTAGCACTTACAGGCAGCCTCCCAGGCCATGCCATTACCGCGTATCACCCCCTATAGAGCTTAATCATAGGGACACTAGAACAGAAAATGAGGAAACATTGCTTCAAGGATACAACAGCAATAAAAAAACCTTTTTTCTAGCTAAGTGGCAGAAGACTAGAAGCTTATTTTTTATTGTCAGTAATAGATTGCAAATTTGGGAAATTCTGCCAAATTCCAATTTTAGTAACAGCTTTGTTTTCATGACATAAAGACTTAATGGCACTTTTCTGACAGTAATGTAATTTAGAAATACCTGCTCCTAATTCAGGCAAGCACTTGGTAGTTTTTCCTACTGCCCCGGGCTTTTTTCTCAGAGTATAGGTGCAGGTACTACAACCTCTTGAGTCACCCCTTGTCTGCGCCGCTTACCCATCTCCGAGTACCATCCCTTGGTTTCACCTCCTATCCACCTCCCAGTACAGCCCTTTTTAGAGAATACAGAATTAATTTTTAAGTAATTTGTTAATGGTAACAAGAAAAGCAGTAAAATGCAGCCAGCAGCAACAGACCCTCCCAGCATAAGTAGATCCACCCGAGCAGCAATAGCTCCCCCAGGAACAATAGATTCACCTCAGCAACACTGGATACCCCGGCAACACTAGGTTCTCCAGCAAAACTAGATTCCCCCAGCAACAATAGATCCACCCGCTTCCACAATAGACCACCACTAGTAATACTATATTTCCCAGCAAGCAGCATCAATAGTCCCTCCAGCATATCCCAGTAGCCCTTGCCATTACATACTTTCAGTGTTGGAGGTGCTGGAACTGCATTCCCCCACGTTACCGCTGAAAAAAGCCCTGCTACTGCCAATTTAGGAACCTGCTATTGTGGCAGTGATAGATTGATAAGGAATTACCACCAGTCTGCAGATTTGGAAACTGGTGGTCATTAGGACCAGCTCTGACCTGCCATACAGAGATACGCCAGTGGTCAGAGTAGGGCATGTCTGTTCTGGGAATCTGTCATGAATTTTACAGCTTCCTGCAAAGGCTCCTTCCTTGGCCCTATTCGGTTGTCTTCCTCAAGTTTCCCGAGCCTAAATCATAATGTAAACAAAGGGGCCGGGTGACACAAGTGACATCATTACCCAAATATTTCAGTGCCCATATTTGCATATTTGGGATTTGGGAAATGACTTGTGTCACTGTGTGACCACCCGCTGCTGTTAATCAACAGCCGGACAGGAAGGCCCAGAGTAAGAAGAAACAAAGACCTGAACGAAGGGCCGGCATGATAGGGGTTAAAGGGGGTTGGGATGGGCAGAGTCCCATTAGCATAAGGGGGAATTAAATAAGTTAAGGAAGGAGTGGAGGGAACCACGAGGGGTGGTCTTACAGGGTGTGGCAGGGGGTTTTTCATTCTGAAGAGAGTTTTCACAGGGCAAACTTCCCTCCCGCCCACCCATTGTTTAATGGTTTGTCTTGCTGGTGGTTGTGCCATATTGGTGCTGAGGGACATCTGGCAGGGTGCAAGGTCCTTGTAGGTTAATGTGGGCACAAGAAAAGGCATTTTGTAGGAACCCGTCTGAGGTATGGCTTCCAGTTGTTCTGGTGGGAGTATCTGCGATGGTGTCTCCGAGTTGGTGATGTTGCGGCTGGAGGCCTAGTTAAGCAGGATGCAGATATTTGTTTTTCTTGATGCCTAGTGGGACCTTGAAAGAATGTATGTTTATACTGTGTTTTCTGTTATTTAAAAAAATTTTATTTATTGATGGTTGTAATAAAAGGCCGGTTTTGGGCTATTAACTCCATTTGTTGTCAGTGTAGTTACTTACGTTAAGTATGGGGGGTAGGTATTGGTTTAGTAGGACTTACAAGCCATCTTTAGTCCCCTGGTCATGATCTGATTGGAAACTAGTCTCTCAGTTCCCCATCAGGCTTTGCCCTCCGCATTAGAAAAAACTGCTCAGCAAATGCACTGTCTGTGTGATGGTGAGCAATGTCTGGGGAGGGAGGGAACGCACTGCGGAAGGAATGCCCAATATTCCTGGCATAGACAGATTCATGTACATCTCTGTGACAGGTACATGAATCAGCTGCAAGCACTGACAATTTTATATGGAATTCGTACTATATACCCGTTCAATCGCAGAGCAGCTGGGGCGATTCACCACTCCAGCCACTCTGTATTGCTGGCGGCTTAGAGGGCAGTGTGGTGTGTAAATCAGTGCATCACATTGGTCCCTTTTATTTTTTGTTTTGTTTTGTACACACTTTATTTGAAGTGTACAAAATATACACTTGAGTCACCGTAATGTCAGGTTGCACTGTGTTGCCTGTCATTGCAGTGCGATTTGGGCTGGTGCGCTGGGATAAAATGAAGTATGTCTGCATTTTACTGCAGCACACATTGCAGTATGAATGGGACATATTGTCCTTCATTGTGGGGATACACAGGAAACCTTTTTACCATGCAGTAAAACATGTGTCACCGCATATAGTGTGAAATGCTTCTACAGGATGTCTACAATACCCTTTATGAATTCTCCCATAGTCCTCTAAAAGAGACAACAGACACAGCTAAAGTCTTGGTATAGGATTTAACCCATCTCTGCGAAAAAAAAAAAAAAAAAAAAAAAAAAAAGGAATAAGCTACAATAAAAAAAATATATATATTTACTAACCTAGGGAACATATGATATTGATAACGGTTGTGGCATTTGCTGATTGTTGAGACATCAGTATATTCATACATGCCTTGTATAAATGAAAATGATTCATCTTTAACTTGGACTTATAAACATGTAGAGTGTAGCTATCCAAGAAGGGAAATGTCTGAAGTCTGTTTGATAGTCTGAGAGCAGAAAGACCTACGTCTAGTTTTGCAGAGCATACCCCATTCATACTCATGTGTAAACACATCACATTTTCCATTGCCAATCCCAGCCAAAAGCATGGAGGAGACAGGAAGTAGCAGAGCGTTTTATACAAGAACAATATAGCAGGGAAAATGCCTTGATTCAGAGCTTGCAGTATTCCAGGAAAGAAGAAGAATGGACATTTTGTTCTTTGTGTGCAGACAAACATCATTCCCAACAGAGCTGGAAAACAACAAAAGAATTAAAATATTTTAATTTGCGAGTGCAGTGAGCAAAGCACAGCCACATTAAGCCCCAAATTGCTAGCCATCCCTTTCGGGATATACCTCCTGCTACAAACTGCCTTCCCTTACGTATATGTCCTCATCCACACTGGATGTTTTTACAGCGGTTGTTTTTGGCTTTTGAAGTTTTTTTCTACAGCTAGTAAACCCTCCAGCATGTTATCCTATGTGTCCATGCACACATAGACTGTAATCACAATTTTTGGGCAGGGATGTTTTTTGGCTGTAAAAAAAAACACAGGACTAGTGGGTTTCTAGAGGAGTTTTTGTAGCTCTAAAAACGCTCTCTAACACTTAAAAAACGCGGCAAAACGCTGAAAACCGGCCTTTTGGGACTTTTTTGACCCCCAAAAAATATTTTTTTTGGAAAAAAAACGCAAACGCGGGAATACGCCGCTATTCGCGGCAAAATGCCGCTAAACGCATGCAAAAACGCTTTAAAAATCATGTTTTTAATGTGACTTTACACAGCTAACGTTACCAGCATTATCAAAATGTCCAGTGTGCATGAGGGCTAAAAACATACACCATCTACAGGCTGTTGAAATTTGTTGGCATGACTTATGGTACTAATGCAATTAAATTCTCTGTTTCTACATCCAGGGTGAAAAGGTGTCTTCAGGGATGTCAGTAGACCTGCCTCCAGAGGTGAGTGAGATCCCTATATATAAAGTAACTTTTCCCTTGTTAAAGACACATTCCAGCCATTAATCCCTTCATGAGGTAAAACAAATGCTAACGCCTGAACACAATTTTTCAACTTTAACATGTGTTAACAAAACTGAACATACCATCGCATACTTAATATATCCAAGTGAATTATACCTTGCTTTTTCCAGGGCAAACAGCCTTTTATTACTGGGTAAATGGTAATGAAGATTTCTTGACTTGAGAAGTGGTACAAAATAGTGAAAAAATATCACCTTTAAAAATGTAACTGTTTATTTCTTGCTATTATCATGACTTTCCACTATTAAATAACCCAAAACAAATTATCCTACTGATGATCACATCGATACCACATACCTGTATGTTATTTGTTTTTTGTGCTCATAGTAGAGCCCAGAATCTGAAACTGACACTAACTGTTACTGAACTAAATTTAAAAATGTTTATTTATTTCAGGTACTTATATAGCGCTGTCAATTTACACAGTGCTTTACATACAGTATATATTGTACATCAGTCCCTAACCCTCAAGGGGCACACAATCTAAAGTCCCTAACTCACATTCATACATATACATACTAGGGCCAATTTAGACAGGAGCCAATTAACCTACCAGCATGTTTTTGGAGTGTGGGAGGAATCAGAGTACCCAGAGGAAACCCACGCAGTCACAGGGAGAACATGCAAACTCTAGACAGGTGGTGCCGTGGCTGGGATTCGAACCAAAGACCCTAATACTGCCAGGCAGAAGTGCTAACCATTTAGCCACTGTGCTGCCCATATTTTTTAATACTACCAAAAATACACTGACCTTGACCTTTGAACACAACCTTTGACACTAACTTTGACTTTGAGTATGACCGTTGACACTAACATTGACCCTGATCTAGATCGAAGACTAATCTACCTATTTTATCCTTACTTTTTATTATTTGTTTACTAATTTCTCCTCTAGCAAACAGAAAAAAATACAATGCATTGTTTTCTTCATGCAAGAGGAGAAAAGAACACAGGTGTGGACTCCACAGTGGCTGATCACTGTGATAGCCAAAAACAGCTATCAGGTGATCAGGAATTGGCCCTCCCAGTTTTCTGATCATTAGTACAAGACTCAGCGCTTTCGCTGACAGCTCGGTCTCTGTGCTGGGAGAGCGCTGTGCAACACAATCCCAGCACAAACATATTGGCAAATATATGTGACCCCACAGATAAAGATCTGATGAGGCTGTATATATGCAAAAGCTTGACGGGGAAGAGTTAAAGAATTTTTTCCTAAAAGTTGTACTGGCCACATCCTGTGTGTAAACTCTGGTTCTATTAGTGTTTGTCACACAAAATGGCTTCTTTAATCCAGAAGCTGAGACGACCTTTCTGTGAATCTGTAGTTTATTTCTCAAGGGAGTTTAAATTCCGCTGACTGAAAATTGTTGAACTTTGTCTGAATCCTGACACTTCCATAAAGAAAACATATATGGTAAAAAACATTGTATTTAGGAGAGTTTTTAACGCTGCTTTTCTCCTGCCAAGAGAAGGGCTTTCCGAAGAACCAGGCAAATACCCAGTGTGCATGAGGCCTAACTGACTATCAGCAATAGACGATGGGCCAAAGTTACTCCTTCACATATAGTTAATGTTGGCATAATAGATGTTTTCCTTGATGTCAAGTGCTAAAAAAAGCTGGAGATATAAATTCAGGCACCATTTTAGGTGCTTACAATTGCCAGCTTAGTAACTTTGACAGCCTAAAGCATCACTTTAGGACATCCTCCATTCAGTCTCAGTACCTGGTCCAGCTATAACCATAACATACGCCAGGCTGTTTTAGTTGCTTTTAGTTGCTGTTATTCTACATATTTTTTCTAAAATAGGTGCCCTTCAGTGAAAATTATAGATACTTTAATATGAAATGTTAGATGATGTGCAGACAGGGGCAGACTGACAACTCATGGGGCCCCCGGGCAATAGGGGATCATGGGGCCCCTGTGTCCTTGCCCAAACTCAAAAAAGCCTATAAAAAAGGTAACAGGGGCATCTCATGGGGCCCCCTACTGAGTGCCCCCCGGGCCCCTCGGGCACTGCCCCAGGTTTCCAAATGGTCAGTCCGGCCCTGTGTGCAGAGGATATTACTTAAATATAAACAAAGCTTGCAGGTAACCATTGAGTGCCTCTGTATGCTGTGTAGCAGGGTGCTTCCCCCCCATCTATCACTGGTTATCAAGGATGTTGTCAGCCTCACAGCCGACACCCTCTAGCATCCAGTGATGCTGACAGTGGGCAAAGCCTGATGTAGAAGCTGAAACACTAGTTGCTCATCAGGTCCACGCTCTCCTTGACAGCAGGCTCTCCTTGACAGCAGGGCAGTGCAAGACTAAACATAAACACAGTGCAACCAAACCTCCAACAGATAACAATAAGAAAAATACTAAAAACATAGTCGGGCAGGCCGGGTCGGTAGCAAGCGGTCAGGCAAGGTACAAGGAGCAGGCAGAAGCATAGTCAGGAATAGCCGAGGTCAGGACAGGCAGAGTTCATGCAGAGTCAGGATTAAAGCAGAAACATGGGATCAGACAGGAAGCAGACAGGATGCAGGTACAGGGGCTCATGGGAAACATACACCAAGGCCCTGATCACAGGCCTGGTCATTCCTTAAATACACCTGCTGTAATCAGCCTCAGGTGATGGCTCATTGCAGGAGTGAGCCTCTGGTTGCTGAGAGCACCCGCTGGCCAGCCCTGGTACTGCAGCCCACAAGGCAGGTGAGTCGCACCACCACTGGCAAGTCCATTCCTGACAGCTAATACCATGCTATTCATTCTAGTTTCCATACTGTATCCCTGCACCAACAACAATGGTTGCAAATGACAACACTTCAGAGCTAGAGCCAGATCAACAACATGGTAAACTAGGCAGGAGCCAGGGCCCAGTACATCTCTAGGGCTCCTAGCTGCAACTTTCACACTCAGTAAGGCCCCTTTCACATGAGTGATTGTGAAAAACAGACAGACGAACCAGATTGGACCCTCCCTTCTCCTCCATGGTGCGGTGGATGTAAACAGACTTGCGTCCATTTAAACCCCTCTACCTCCAATCTGATCCACAAAAAAACAAATGGAAGGGGATCTGTTCCTCTCCATCTGGGCCGATTGGAGGGCAGTCAGGTGTAAACAGACAGCCTGTCTATTTATATCCGATTGCCCATAGTGCAGAGCGGGCTGTATCCATGTCTGCTCTGCATAAGCAGAGCAGACACAAACCTTTCATCTGCCTGCTCGGCTCAGCTCAGCTCATCAGGGGATCAGCAGACAGATCCTCCACTAAGAAAAACGGATCTGGCACATGTGAAAGGGGTCTAAACCAGGTCACTAATTAAAGCTGCCTGTCACAGCAAAAGGAAGGAAGTGCTTGTTGGCAGTTGGTGTCTATCTGAGCAGGCTATGTTAGTACAAGGCTAACCTACATTGCCTAGGCCCCATTAAAGCTCAATTCCAGGAATTCAGCCACTTTGTAAAATGGACAGACATACTCTGAGTTAAGTCCAATGAGATACATGCCACCTCTGGGACTTATCTCTTATTTACATCAACAGTTTTAAGGAACTCTAGGAGTAAAGCTAACACTGCATTCTGGGGCTCTGACAGGAGAGAGACTGTCTTCTCACACACAGCATTTATGATTGCCCCTTTGCTTCCCATTCACAGTAGACTATGTTTTTTTGTGAATGAGTTCAAATAATACAAAGCACTTTGTGGTTGGGACAGCAGGAGGGGAATGGCTGACACCTCAGCTTCATGTGACTTTGCGGCTGAAGGAGCTGAGGGAAGAAGGTCCATCATTGGAGCTCTGGAAATGTAGCAAGAGCTATCCATTCAAACTTAAAAAAAGTCCAAGATGTAAAAAAAGAGATAATTCCACAAGGTGCCATGCATCTCTTTGGACTTAACTCACAGTATGCCTGCACATTCTTGGAATTCAGCTTACAGTCTTAATCCATCTATGTTCTGACCTGTGGACAGGCAGGCAGGCTAGTACATGCATACATCAGACAAGGATCATCTTGTGGTGCCTGAGCACCATCTGTGGTCTACCCACAAATCTAGCCTTAGCCATTATGTTTGTGGCCAGCCCTGGCACTGAATTTTGATATCTGACTTCACAAAGATAGCTTCTGTAACATTTTATAAAAACAGAAGACTATTTCTGTCTAAAATGACAAGCAGACCGTAACTGATGCAGATGTATTTAGACAAAGATACTTTTTTGAAATAGCTCTTATAATCCAGCGTGAAAACCAAATGACTGAATTTTCCCATTTTTGTGAAGCTTCAATTTAGACTCAAGCACTTACATGACAGCAATGAGCACAAACAGTTCTTAGCAGGCAGGATTCTTAAAATGAACACAACTATTTTTTCTTCCAATACACAAATAAATATGAATACTATTGGAGTCAAACGACAAATTGTCCAATGCCAAAAAATGAGCCAAACCTACAAATATTTATTTAAAATATACCAAACAATCACTGGCGCAGAGAGTTCAAATGTTTTTGTTTTTTAATTAGCCAAATTTTTGTCAGTTGTACACTAATACTGTTTGAGTAAACTATCCTTGATTGCTTTTTGGACACATGAGCTTCTTTTCATTTAATTATTCCATGATTTGGCATAGCAGATTGAAGAAATTTTTGGTTGGTTACAGTGGTCAAAACTGACAGAATGGGTTTCTGTAATTCATATCATACCTGCAGGATAGAATATTTAATATATTTAAAAGGCCAGTAGCCCCCCAAAATGATATTTTAGTTAGATCTTTACTACATGGGTGAAGGGCCTAACAAAAGACCATTTTGATCAGCTGACCAGAGTTTAGGTTTTATAAAACCAGGCTGTAAGTATAGTGACAGGAAAAACACAAAAAGGGTGTAGAAACCTAATGCTTTAAAAGACACTCTGAGCCATAGTTGGGAATGATAGAAACTGCATTAACAATTGTGCAGGAGATATTCACCTTACTATATAGCTAATGGTTCAGAAGGATAGTTACGGACAGCAGCTCACACAGGTTTGGGGGTCTCCTTCTCTGTATGGTGGTGGTGGATAGTGAAATGTTTGCACCAAAAAAAGTGCACCAACATGCAATAATAGGGGAACACATTTTGCAAGCACATTGGATTCTCATAGGAAAAACAGGTTCACAAAAGAAAGGTGCAAATTAGTGCATTAAAGCTGATAACCCTTTGTTAACCTCCTTGGCGGTATTCCCGAGTGTAGCTCGGGGTAGAATTTCTATACCAAGAACGGTAACCCCGAGCTACACTCGGGCTTACCATGCAGCGTTCTCTGGGGGTCCCTGCAGCACTTACCTTGTCCTTCGCTCCCACGATGGGTCCCCTGCAGCGTCCCCGTCCATCTCCTCCGGCGGATGCCGGCATCTGGCTTCCGTGTTCCGGTCCCTGTGATGTCGGAACGTTCGGGCGGCGGAACCGGCGGGAAATTTGAAATTTTTAAAAAAATGACATTTTTGCTGTCATTGCTTTTTCACTGCATTTCACATACATTTTGTCCCCACTGCTTTGTCCTGTGCCCTGCCTGCATTTTTGACTGTTCTTTCTGCCTGGAAACTTAGAAAAGTCCATGGCGGCCACAAAGCGTCCCTTTACGTCAAAAGCGGTTTTAGAACAGCGATAGTAAATCAGAACCACTTGCAGAATTGAGTGATAATGATTCGTGGGGAAATTCGTCATCAGACACTGAAAACGATTTTGCGACTTTGCTCAGCGATGTGTGAATTTGCCTCTGTATTTCAAATTTCAGTGTTTTTGGTTTGATTATATTATTGAATTCACTTTATTATTATTATATTATTATTTTTTATGATTATTTATTAAATTATAATTTATGATTTTGTGTTTCAAGTTTTATCATATCCGGAATGTTTAATAGACTCTTTTTCGGATAGATTTCAGTGAGTTATTCCTAAAAAAATTACAGCCTACAATAAAAAACTACATATTTCCATGCAAAAAAAATGGTACCGCTTTCAGCACAAAAAATCGGAAAGAATCATTCCGCCAAGGAGGTTAAAGAAGCATTAAAAGAGCTCACTGATGATCACTTGGAACACAGCTAGTAGAAATCCAGGCAGTGTAAAGCATTCCCTTCCCAAGGCCTGTAATAAGGGCTCTAAATAGATGTCAGCATGAGCACCCCTGGGTTCCCTTCCTTTGTCCTTCCCTCCTATTTGTCATCAGAATCCAGTGTGCTTAGAAGATATGGAGTTCATGGTGCTAAATTTTTGGCAACAAACATTTCCCTTACTGACTAATTTGCCTAAAGTCAACAAATTACAGACAATATCTCTCTTAAACAGGGGTGTCAAACTCAATTTCATTGCGGGCCACATCAGCATTATGGTTGCCCTCAAAGGGCTGGTTGTGTTTGAGTGAATAGGGCTTTCTTGGTCCTGATGAACAAACCATACACAAAAACTTTTTATATCAAAAACATATTTATTTATTGTAGTTATATAGCACCGTCAATTTTTATGCAGCGCTTTTACATACAGTTGCAAGAAAAAGTGTGTGAACCCCTTGGGATTACGTGGAGTTTTGCATGAATTGGGCATAAAATGTGCTCTGAACGTCATCTAAGTCACAACAATAGAAGAAACACAGTCTGCTGAACATAATACTACACAAACATTAGATGTTGCCATGGTTTAATTGCGCATAAGATGTAAACATTCACAGTGCAGGGAGGAAAAAGTATGTGAACCTTTGGACTTAATAACTGGTTGACCCTCCTTTGGCAGCAATAACCTCAACCAAACGTTTCCTGTAGTTGCAGATCAGACCTGCACAACGATCTGGAGTAATTTTGGACCACTCCTCTTCACAAAAACTGTTTCAGTGTAGCAATATTTTTGGGATGTCTGGTGTGAATCGCTCTCTTAAGGTCATGCCACAGCATTTTCAATCGGGTTGAGGTCAGGACTCTGACTGAGCCACTCCAGAAGGCGTATTCTGTGCTGTTGCAGCCATTGTTTTGTTGAATTACTTGTATGCTTTGGGTCATTGTCCTGTTGCATCACCCATCCTCTGCGGAGCTTCAGTTGGGCGGACAGATGGTCGTACGTTTTCCTGCAAAATGTCTTCATAAACTCTGGAATTCATTTTCCCATCAATGACAACAATCCGTCCAGGCCGTGAGGCAGCAAAGCATCCCCAAACCATGATGCTCCCATGTTTTACAGTGGGGATGAGGTTTTGATGTTGGTGTGCTGTGCCTTTTTTTCTCCACACATAGTGTTGTGTGTTCTTCCCAAACAACTCAATCTTGGTTTCATCTGTCCACATTATATTTTGCCAGTAGTGCTGTGGAACATCCAGGTGCTCTTTTGCAAACTTCAAACATGCTGCAATATTCTTTTTGGACAGCAATGGCTTCCTCCGTGGTGTCCTCCCATGTACTCCATTCTTGTTTAATGTTTTCCTTATTGTAGATGTGTCAACAAAAATGTTAGCATGTGCCAGAGATTTCTGTAGGTCTTTAGCTGACACTCCGGGATTCTTCTTTACCTCATGCAGCATTCTGCGCTGTGCTCTTGCAGTCATTTTTACAGGATGACCACGCCTAGGGAGAGTAGCAACAGTGCTAAACTTTCTCCATTTGTAGACAGTCTGTCTTACCGTAGACACATGAACATCAAGGCTTTTGGAGATACTTTTGTAACCCTTTCCAGCTTCATGCAAGTCAACAATTCTTGATCATAGGTCTTCTGAGAGCTCTTTTCTGCGAGGCATGGTTCACATCAGAGAGTGCTTCTTGAAACCAGTAAACCCAAAACAGGTGTGTGTTTTTTAAGGGCAGGACAGCTGTCAGCAACACATCCAATATCATCACACTGATTGGAGTCAAGGTTGGCTCACTCCTGGCTCCAATTAGCTCTGGGAGAAGTCATTAAGCTAGGGCCTCACATACTTTTTCCTCCCTGCACTGTGAATGTTTACATGTTATGTGCAATTAAACCATGGCAACAATGTCTTTGGAGTGTAGGAGGAAACCCACGCAGGTACAGGAGAACATGCAAACTCCAGGCAGGTGGTGCTGTGGTTGGGATTCAAACCAATGACCCAAGTACTGCCAGGTGGAAGTGCTAACCATTTAGCCACTGTGCTGCCCATATTAACAGTAGATTCCCATACAAACCGTAAAGCCATACCCATGCGCTAGATGTTAATGACTGATTTAACACAAACATTTGTATTTTTACTATTGCATCAACAGATACCATAAATTAAAAACAGCAAAAATGTATGGGAAGCCTTTTCAAAGTTGATGTATTTCTTCATGTTTCACAGCATAAAGTGTGATGGGAATCACAGTAGCTACAGAAAAAAACAAAAACCGTGTAATACATAAAAATCTAAAAAAAAATATGGGCAGGGATCTACAAAGCTTATCCAGGGATAGAAATTGGACCAGTACGCCCAGAACTGCCAGAGTCTGCTGCATGCTGAGACCAGGGTAGGCAAAGAAGAGGGGGTTCTACGGCTGCACAGAGAGGTGCAAGATCTGTAGGTGGAGTTCTCCTCTCTGCTGCCGACTGCTGAAACAAGGTGGGGGCAGAGACAAGGGGGGTGCCACAGCTGCAGGCAAGCTGCGAGGGCCACATGAAATGGCCAGGTGTGCCAGATTCAGACCGCAGGCCTTGTGTTTGACACGTGCTTTAAACTGTATCTCATAGTGATATTTGCATTGTAAAGACATGTATAGATACATTGCTGCTTATGTTTCCCCAATGCTAGAGAGTATGATCCATTTATAATGGTAACGTGTGTGCTAAATTGCCTGAACTTTTTCCAGACAAATCTTCAACATTTGTAGGAGATTATAAGATTATTATTATTTTTCTGCAAAATGACCTAGCTATCCTTCTTCTATTTTAGCTAATCAAATAGATCTTGTTTGAAACTTTAGTTGTAATTTTTTGTGTAATATGTTACACTTGTACTCTATTCTCTGAAAACCTCAGGTGTACATTTCATAGTAATTGACTTGCTCTTTATGTAAGTGTGCTAATCATTCTCTATGATATATATTTGATTGGCTTTAATGACAACACATTTTCATTACAGCAATATATTCCTGCTGTAAAAATTTCTTTAGTTATTCTACAGTTTTGCAGTTGTTCTGAATAGTTGCTAGAAGCCATTTTCCATAACTGTGTTTTATATTCTAATTATTTTTTTTTTTGCAGTGTGAATCATGCGCTTTTCGTCTCCCAGAAGCCAATGTGAGTAGACTTCTGACAGATATTGTATACATGTATAGGACAGCCCTTAGCATAGGATTGCTCCCTGTTTTTATCCACAATCTACTACATCCTTTGGTATCTATATTAAATATTTTCAGATTTATATCATCATATATCAGCATATTCTAATGTGTTAGACAAAAGAAAATTGAATCTTCTAGCTCATGGCAAATGCCAATCAAGTCTATGTATCCAAATATAAAAAGCTCTCTAGTGATCAACAGAATCTAGCTGTGTGTACTTGGCAATGTTTTAAAATAATTTTCAGGGACTTTCCACAAACTAATATACAGCAAACTTAATGTTTTGCAATGCGAATGACGCTGTATAAAAAAGGCAGAGAACTTAAAGCAAAACTCCAGCCAAAAATAAAAACAAAAAATGGCGTCTCTGCCGCCATCAAACCAAAGCTGGGCCCATATCCCTTCATTGCATTTAAATCCTCTGAGGAACAGTCCACTGTAGGAGCATAAGGAAACGCCATCTGAAAGGGAAGCTGAAGATCAGGTGAAAAAAACTGCTTACCCATCCTCTAGACCTAAACAAGCATTCATTGAATGCAGTGCAGGCGTAGCTCCACTGCAATGGAGGACTTTTACTTTTCTCAGAGTTCGTCTTTAATATAAACCTGTCACAAATTGGACATAACCTGTCATAAACAGTTGAGTATATCATTGAAAATATGCATTTACAGAAGTTACAGTAAAAACTATGTAGGAGCCATCAGATATAAAGGCAGTGGAAATCCCAACTTTATTTGTAAAACTCAAGCTTGGCCCTGCACCATCATGCCTCTCAGTCCTCTTATTTGGACAGTGAAGTTTCCCATAAAACAGGATCCCCAATCTGTCTAAACAAAAACCCAGTTTACTGGGCTTCAGTCTATAGGAAGGCCGGACTGTTGCCATTGGGAGTAGAAATGGCATAAGTGGGAGTCAACAGTGCATCTTGCGTTATTAGGGGGAGGAATAGTGCCCCATTGATTGTGCCAGTTGGAGGAATAGTACCCATTGATGATGACAGTGGGATGCATAGTGCCCCATTGTTGGTGTCAGTGAGAGGAATAGTGCCCCATTGTCATTGTTAGTGTGCAGAATAGTACCCCATTGTTGGTGTCAGTAGGAGGAAATGTGCCCCATTGTTGTCAGTAGGAAGAATAGTGTCCTATTGTTGGTGTCAGTGGGAGGAAAAGTTCCCCATTATTGGGGTCAGTGAGAGGAAAAGTGTCCTATTATTGATGTCAATGGCAGAATTTATGTCCTATTGTTGGTGTCAGTGGGGTGGAATAGTGCCCCACTGTTAGTGTCAGTGGGAAGAATAGTGTTCCATTTCAATGGGGGGAATAGTGCCCCAAGGGCCATATAAAGGCAAGCAAAGGGCCACATATGGCCCCTGGGCCACAGATTGGAAACCACTGCCATAAAAGTTCAAAAGTTCAGCTCTCATAAAACTTCAGCTACCTATTTTTCCGCATGTACCAAATGTGTTGACATATGTTTTACTGAAGGTAAGCTGTCATTATGCATTGTATCAATCATATATTCATTTGATTTTAGAGTTGGTCAGTAGTCTGAACCAGGGAATTTCCCAGAATCAAACATGTACAGGGACAAGTATGTAATTCTTAGAACAATGCATGTGTTGTTTTATGTGGATACACCTACTGCATACCTGGCATATTAATATAAGATGTGAAAAAAGCCAAAGGATAAGGTGTTTGCGTTTGCCATAGCAATCTGCCATGTGCTGGTACTGATGGCAACACAGACACTCTCATTTCTCCCAGTTTCTGTTATAATTATTTTCCTTTTTATTGCTGTAAAGACACAGAAGCATTATTGTTAGTCCCCAGCATAAAATGAATGATTTACCTACATGAGTACGTGGATGGACTATTTAAGATGGAAAAAAATGTTAGAACAAAAGCATCTGTGCATTTCTACCAGGTGTTCACCTGTACAAGTGTCTAATGCATGTACCTCTTAGAGACATGCCTTAAGGGGGGGCACAAATGCCGTCTACGTGCTTTCCTAATCTAGGGTCATTGCCTGGAGGCGATGGTGTGCCATCAACTATCCAGACAACTCCATGGAAAAAAATTATAAAGTCATTAATAAAAACAAGAATGTATTCGCTTTTCAGAAACATCAGCCAGCTTCCCCTCCACACTATGGGATTCACTTAGCAGCACTTCAAGTCTAGGCCTGACTAGTTCAGCTTGTTTTCTGCTTGCGTGAGTTTTGATAAAAGGTAGATGGATAAAATACATAACACCACGCAGAAAATGGCTTGAAAAAGTGACAAAAACAAATAAAAAGAAAAAAAAAAGCTGTTACATGGTCAGAAGAGATACTTGAGATATAACTGTGATCACAGAACAACTCAGTTATCTATACAGTTGCTTCTCACTTCCATAAAAAATATGCAGTATAAAAGTGGCATCCATGCATTATATAAAAATTGCCTGCTTAAAAGAAATTAGTCAGGAGGGACATTTATAAGCTGCCATTGCTTACCTTGCCTCTTGCTTCAGAAGTATAATTCACTGACCTGGAACAGACATGCAGATAAGGATTATGACTTTGCTCTGACTTTTACGATCTGCATTCATGTTCTGGGTCATTAAATCAAAAAATATTAAACTAGTGGGTCAGAACTAACCAAGAAACTAGAATTTTAAGGGCTCATGTACACTGCAGCTGATAAACTGATGTTCAGGAGCTTTTCTGTGTTTTTTTTTTTCAGCAGCCCCTGAACTCTCCCTAATGGGTTCCTATGTGTCATGTACACATAGTCGTTTACAGGCATTTGAGTTTACAGTTGTTTTTTTGAATGCAGCAAAATTGTGTTCAGGAGTAGATTTTACCAGCTTTTTAAACGCCAAACACTTGTAAACATTTTAAACGCGGTTAACCATGTTTATAAGCGTTTGCGTTTAGAAGCATTTTTTGACTGGTCCATATCCAGTGCACAATTCACTAAGCGGTATCCTACCGCATCCGAGTATGCAGTAGGATACTGCATAGCATTTTGAAAAAAAATACCCATTTGAATCCACTAAAAAAGACTACTAAAATACCGCATGATTTTATCAAGTCATGCGGAATTTTAGTAGTGAAAAGCATGCATCATGTTTCAGCTGTCAGCAGGGTTCCCACTGACAGCTGAATGTAAAAGAAAGAATTGCTGGCAATTGAAAAATAATTAAAAAAAACAGCGTGGGGGTCCCCTCTCCCATCCATACCTAGCCCTTTCGGGTCTGGTATGGATTTTGAGGGGAAGCCCCACGCCAAAATTAAAAAAAATTGGTGTGGGGTTCCCCCCCAAAATGCATACCAGACCTTTATCCGAGCATGTAGCCTGGCAGGTCAGGAAAGAACTTGAACCACCATACCAGGCCACATGCCCTCAACATGGGGGGGTGCTTTGGGGTAGGGGGACCTTTTTCCTCCCCAAAGCACCTTGTCCCATGTTGATGGGGACAAGGGCCTTTTCCCCACAACCGTGGGCTGTGGTTGTGGGAGTCTGCAGGCGGGGGGCTTATCAGAATCTGGAAGACCTCTTTAGCAAGGGGGCCCCCAGATCCTGCCCCCCCCCCCACGTGAATGAGCATGGGGTACATGGTACCGCTACCCATTCACACAAAAAAAAACTGTAGTGTGAAAAATGACAGGAGCCATTCCTTGACATGTCCTTTAATGAAAGATGTCCCCCCCGAAGTAGATCCAACGTCAATCACATCAATCACGATGTCCGCCACTGCTCCGAAAAAACAAAAGGCTCCGCTACCGACACTGGCCCCCGGCCGTCTGCTCAGAAGCTGGTTTGACAGTTCTTAAATATGTAAGGGGCGGGGCCATCATGTATGCAACCCGGCCCTTGTGTGACATCCATGACCACCATGCCCCAGTTGATGATGTCACATGGGGGCGGGGTCACACGGGTGATGTCACCGGGTGGCCCTGCCCCTTACATATTTAAGAACTGTCAAACCAGCTTCTGAGCAGACGGCCGGGGGCCAGCGTCAGTAGTGGAGCCTTTTCTTTTTTTTTCGGAGCGGCGGGCATCTTGATTGATGTTCGATCTACTTCGGGGGACATTCTTTTATTGAAGGACTTGTCAAAGAATGACTCTGTCTTTTTTCACACTACAGCTTTTTTTTTTGTGAATGGGTAGTGGTACCATGTACCCCATACTCATTCCAGATTCCAACAAGCCCCCCCTGCCCGCAGACCCCCACAACCACAGCCCAGGGTTGTGGGGAAGAGGCCTTTGTCCCATCAACATCCCCCCCATGTTGAGGGCATGTGGCCTGGTATGGTTCAGGGGGGGGCGCTCGCGCTCACTCCCCCCTCCCCCCTTTCCTGACCTGCCAGGCTGCATGCTCAGATAAGGGTCTGGTAGGGATTTTGGGGGGAACCCCACGCCATTTTTTTTTTAATTTTGGTGCGGGGCTACCCCTCAAAATCCATACCAGACCCGAAGGGCTTTTTTCATTGCTGCCAATTCTTTCTTTTACATTCAACTATCAGTGGGAATCCTGCTGCCCGCTAAAACATTAATGCATGCTTTTCACTACTAAAATACCACATGACTTGATAAAATAACTCATGCGGTATTTTAGTAGCATTTTTTATTGAATTTACTATTTTTCAGTGCATTCTGAGCATTCAGGAATGTCTCCTGAGGTTATCTTTTAATAATGCTTCTAAACGCAAATGTGCATAAACGCGGCTAAACATAGTATGCAAACATGGTTAAACTGATGTTTTTTAACCTACGCTTTCCAGCAGTCAATTTCCATCTTTCAGAAGAGTTTTCCAAACGCCCCGTGTACATGAGCCCTAAGAATCAGGTTAGCAATGGCAGCCCAATATTTCTTTCAAGCCAAGTTTGCTTTAATACTTTAGAAGCACATAGATAAATATATAGATGAAATACATTAATGAGAACTGTCAAAGGATTTGCATTTCTCTCCA